TGAACCGCTTTTGTCAATTATGTTACAAAATGAAATTAAGATTTTATTTTGAATGAAGTTTCGAAGTTGGTAATATGACTGTTTAAAACTTTATTTCAAATTCGAAAATCTCTTTCGTGATAGGATGTTTATTTGAATTATGAAAGATTATATTTTAATATAACATTAATTCATCTCTTACAAGAAGGTAGTGTAATTTTTAAAATTAGGGTTGATGACATTATAGTATGAGTATATCATAGAGGTTTTGGGGTTGATAACATGTTGAATTTTTGTTATGAAAGGATTCGGAAGATTTGATATATATTTGATTATCGACGTCAAAACTACTAAAAGACATAATTGAGGATAATTTAATTAAGGTATTACTAAGAATAACGTTTTACCATTATAAAGAATACCAAGGACTTCTAATTGGAGAATTTTTGCACTCATTTTTTAACAAAAATAATAAGCCTTTTTTAAGAAATGTAAATCTAATTTATCATTTTTTTTAAAAAATTGTTAAAGCACTTTTTTTGTGTTTTAAAATTTATTTATTTTTTATTAGAGAAGTATAGTAGTGAGAAATTTTAATTGCTTGGATAGACGGTTGTTTATTTATCCTAAAAGCTTAAATAGCCAAGCGAAAGTTAAGCTTGATTTTATTTTTGTAATTCTGATATTTTTGTTGATCTGTCCTTCTAAATGAAACATACACCAAGACTAAGACTATGTTTATGTATTAGCCTTCAATTCACCGCAAAAAAACGCACGGCGTTGATTTTTGATGTTTTTATTTGGGATCCATTTATGAAATGCGTTTTCTAAAAGGAAGGCTATCAGCATTTCCCAAACGGAGTTTGATTCGGTATACAAGTTAAATGATTTGTTAACTGTAATCCAAATATATAATAATAATAATAATAATGATAATAATAATGCTTAAATTATTATTATTATTATATATAATTGAGTTAGGTTGGGTTATGGTTAAAAATACAAAACATGTTACCTAATTTGTATTGTACTCAATTTTGATCTGGTAAGATTGAGTATGATCTGAATACTAAAAAATTTGATCCAAATTTATTGATCAGGTTAGTGGGTTACCTGTACCTGCTTACACCTCTATTCATAAGAGACATTTGATTGATGTTAAATTAAAACATGTTTGGATATAAGTTAGAAGAACTTTTTAAAAAAAATTTTTTTTACTAAAAATAAAAAGTATTTTTTAGTAAAGAAATTAGCAACAAAACTCATAAATTTGTATCTAAACATACTCATAATTTAGGTTGAATTAATTGAACTTATTTAACATGTTGGTTAGAGTCAATGGGAGAGAAGAGGAGTAAAATTCCTTGAACTCTCCTCCAATATTGGGAGATTTAGAAGGGAGGAGAGAAATTTTAAAACATTTTTAATATAATATCTAAAATATTATTATTTATGTTATTAAATTTTAAAATTAGAAGAATATAAAAATAAATTGATTTTTAAAATCTCTTTCCTCTCCTTGTAAATCAAACAAGAAAAAATTACCTCCCTTTTACTCTCTTTCTCTCAACTAAACAAAATTTCATACAGTTCTATTTTCATCTTTTTATCTCCCCTCCATTAAAACTCATTCCTCCTATCCCCTCTTTTAAATCAAATAGATTCTAAAAGAAAAATATAAATATAAAATTTAAACATAAAATGTGGGGTCACCCACAATAATTAAGAACATGAGAAGGTGTTGCATGAATCCAACACCTCACATGCTTATCCAAATAAGTTTGAACTAAATTGATTTATGTGATTTACATTTAATTTTATAAAAATAAAATAAAATAAATACTTATCCAAATAAGTTTGTTAAATTTTAAATATCCAAATTATTAGCGCAACTTAATTTGTTTGGTCCATTGGGTCAAATTGGCTTGAATCATTTTAAGCTATCTTTTGTTAAACCTATATCAACTTGTTCCTTCAAACTATACTATTTTTCATAACTCTAATTATTCCAACCTATTAGTCTAAAACATAATGATATATTCTTTGACGCTCTTTATTATTGATTAAAAACTTTTAAAATATAAATTTTACAAATTTCTTAAATTTTATTTAGATATTTATAGGTACTTATAGGATAAGAAAATAAAAAGAAAAAAATTTTCATTTTTGAACGCATAAGTTAATTTTAACTTATGGAGAATTTTTTTTTTCTATTTTCTTCTCCTATAAGTGTTTATGAAGAAATTCATCCAAATAAACCCTTAGTTAATGAGTTTAATAATTTAGCAATTTCAAATAAATTTTAACTAATAATAGAAAATATCCTAGAACAAGTGTGCTAAACAAATGTGTTGTTAACAATTTACAAATTGATACTTTTAGACTAAAAGATCCAACCAGTAATTGCAACGACCCAATTGCAAGAGCGGAACTCTACCAACTGAGCTATATCCCCCGAGCCAAGTGGAGCATGCATGAAGGAGTCAAGTCAGTTTTCTATTCTTTTCCTTGGCGCAGCTGGGCCATCCTGGACTTGAACCAGAGACCTCGCCCGTGAAGTACATCTTATTCAATTGGTTGTATAAGGTATATGAGGAATTGTAAACTTTTTTTTGTACCGAACTTAATAATTATCATGAATAATTATATTTAATGTTTTTAGTTAAACTATTGAGTAGGGTGGGCAACGAGTGGGTTCGAGTGTAAAATGTCCAACCCACTATAAACTGACTTTGGAAAAATGTAATCCATGTTCTACCAACTGAACTTTTAATTTGAGTTGAACTGGATTCAAATTTGAGTGGATGGGTATAATAAGGTTCGAAACTTTTTTTAGGTCAGGTTATCTTGAAGAAGTGAAGATCAAAATGATACAAAAGCATTCTCAAAACAATGTGCAAAAACAGAATGACAGTGATAATAAAAGATGTAGGTAGATCTAGATGAAACACTCATAAAACAAAAAAGTGAAAGCAAAGGATAACAAAATCTACAGTTACATAAAAAGAAATCTAAAGTCAAACAACAAAATCCATAAGAAACCATAATCTCACAAGTTGCAATCAAATGAAGGCAAGAAGGTGGGAAAGAAAGTTAGAAAAAAAAAATAGAAAGGAAACTTTAAAAATGGACTAGTGTGTTAAGAAGTTGAAAGAGAATGAAGATGACAAAAGAAAAGTCTAGGTTTTGAGAGAAAAAAAGTTATAAATTAATATAATATAAACAGATTATATTTGAAATAAAGACTTCTGAATTCGAGTCATTATTGTTTAGTTAAACAAATATAATAAAAACTTGAAATTTATTTTATTTGTAGTCGAGTTCAATTTTTAGTGAATTTAAAAATTTAAAATCAAATCCGTTTATATAATCGGTATAAAGTCAAAATAATTTACTCATAAATTCTATTTGAACCCACTCAAAAATAATATTTTTATTCCCACTCAAAAATAATATTTTTATTAAATATTTTTGGATTCGGTTCAATTCATAGTTTCATGATCACCCCTATTAAGTCTAGTCATCTAAGAGAACCCATTGGAGATCATTTTAATTTGTTTTTCTTTGGAAAAAAAGAACTAGAGACATATGATCATTTTGCTCGCACAAAGAATTTAAATGGTCTACTAACGCTACAAAATAAGGAAGATTTGTTCTATGCTTTTTTCCCCATCTAGAATCCGCAAATTAATAAAACTCAAGTTGCAGACATTGTTAAATAAAGCATCTTACTAACGAGTATATTAATGCCATTTATTAAAAAAAATTAAGTAGAACGTTTTTTTTATAAGCAATTAAGTAAAGTGTTTATTGTTTAAAAACTATGATGGGAGTCTATGATAACATTAATGTTGCACTTCTCTCTATTTTTTCTTCGACTTATTTTATTTAGTACCCTTGACTTGACACTACTGTTAACATTTTTGTTAAATAAAATAAAATTTATGTACACATATTTTATTGCACTTTTAATTTAATTTAGAATTCCACCCTTATAATCAGCGACAATCTTTAATGGTGTTCTTTATATATTATACAAAATTATCGCGAGATATTATACAATTTTTTTAGATAAATTAAAATTTCAATTATTATCAGATATAATTCCAAAAATATTTAAGATATTATACCTAAATTTTACCTAAATAAATATCATATTTAACGTGCATAAGAAATATCCAATTATGAAGAATAAATTTAAATTATCCTGCAAGATCCCCCATACTTGTTAAATAAAGAAAACATTGGATGCTGTTTAATTATGTTTTTAACATATCTTTTTACTTAATTCTTTTTATATTTAGCATTTAAAAGGATTAACTAGTTGGACGATTCTATTATATGAAATATAAAAAGTGATGATTTCAAATCCGACGATGATACTATGTTGTCGGGTCGAGACACGCATCAATAATTGAGGATAAGTATTCCATGAGATGTTTTTATGGGTCCATTTCTATCATCTCTATATATGTTGAAAAATCTAAAGGTCCATCATCTCTATATATGTTGAAAAATTTAAAGGACTCTATAGGGTCCATCATGTGCCTTAAAGCAACCATACTATTATTATTAAGGTGGAAAAACCATGTTATGGAATAACAAAATTAAGAAGTATCTACATGTATAAAACTTAGTAATAAATACTTAGACTTTTGAATAAGGAATATTTGATTCTTAATCATGTATATGTACAAAAACTTTGTAGAAAGAAATAAAACTTATTTTTCATAATTTTTATATTTTGAAAGATATTAATTTTAGACTGTCATTTTAGATTTTAGAAAGAATTAGTCATTAATATTTAATTAAATAATTTTAATATTCTTTTTTATAAATAAATATAACTTTTTTTTTTAATAAAATAACTTTTATAATAGTTGAATATTCAACCTTATATAATAAGATGTTTTTTTTTGTCTATCTCCATATATGTTGAAAGACCTAAAGTACTATATAGGGTCCATCATGTGTGTCTTTAAGAAACCATACTATTATTATTAAGGTAAAAATATTACGTTATGGGATGACGAAATTGAGAAGTATTTACATGTCTTATGAAACTTAGTGATAAATAATTAGACTTTTGGATCATGCTGTGAGGAGTATTTGATTCTTAATCATGTATATGTACAAAACTTTGTAGAAAGAAATAAAACTTATTTTTCATAATTTTTATATTTTAAAAGAAATTAATTTCAAATTACCACTTTAGATTTTAGAAAGAATTGGTCTTTAAAAATAATTTTAATGTTCTTTTTATAAAGAGTTATAACTCTTTTTAATAATATAACTCTTAGAATAATGAATTTGAGTCAAACTCAACTCTACAAAATTGGTTTGTAAGGTGAAGATTGTTCTCTACTTATATATTATTTAATTGTCTAATTTTTAGTCGATATGAGACTTAGCTTTTTTCCAATACATTCTCTCACATCTAATATTATTGGACTTAATTAGTATGTAAATAGTCTTTGAACTAATGATTTTTAGCGACACTATTAATGGTTTAGATAAAATTGTCTTCTCTATCAATAATTACCATCTTACCCTCACTTTGATGACTCATTTATCAACACCTCGAGGGCATTCTTGTCACTCCAATAAAACATGGGTAGGAAATAACACGCGTTATTGACCTCTTTTGCGAGTCAATTAACACGGTTTCAATTCATTAAACTCACTCACCGAGCAATTCCCATAGTTAATATTTCTTCACTACTGCAAGTTCATGTCAGATTTCAACTTAAAGTGAAGCCTATATTATTATTTTGGGTTCAACCCTTATTCATGGTGTTCTTTCATTTCCACTCTTTCTTCTTCTTTAGGTCATCATCAGCTGCCAATATATGAGATCAAGTTCTCAAACTTTTATTTTATTTTATTTTGTTTTGCTTGTGTATATATAGTGAACTAGCTAGCTAGCACCATATATAATATAGTCTGCTTGTCGATATTAATTCTTGTTTGTTTGTCTCTAAACGACACATATAATAGGAGCCTTTGCGTTAAGGAGCATGGAAGAAGAGAGAAAAAAGAGAAAAATAGAGAATGAAGAAGAAAATGAGGAAGAGAAGATGGAAGAGTTTTTCTCCTTGATAAAGAGGACAAAAGATGTTCGAGATCGTCTCTATAATAAGGAGAAGACAGAAAAGAAAATTGATGGAGAAAGGGAAAAGAGTATTTGGAACCCAACGTTTCAACCAGAAGACTTCATTGAAATGGGAAAGAG